CCAACCAGCCTTTCTGCGCCCTGCTCGGAGTCGGAACCCTGTCCAGAGTCCTCCACATCCTCCAGAGCCAACTCATAGGGCCCCTCGCTGTCGGAATCTGGTGGCAGTTCCAACGGCTCCTGCTGGGCCACAACACTATCCTATCCTATCCTATCCTATTCTATCCTATCCTACCCTACCCTATCCTATCCAATTATCTACTGATATTTGCATGCTTTTGAAGTGGGTTGGCAGGAACTGGGACAAGTAGTAGCAGCTCACCCTGTCACATGGCACTCAGGTCTTGAACCCAGACTTTCAGCTTTCCAGTGACAAGCTCAGCATCTTTAACAAATGAGCCATCATGCCCCCACCCCCAATTTAAATAAACAATCTGTAAATTTTAAAAATTCAACAAATAGATGCCAAATGTATTTGTTTATTTGTTTATTTAATTTATTTATCATTTCACCTTTATTATTATTACAAATAACGGAAGGTAGCAAACATATCCAACACACTTTCTTCCTTGTCCCACAACAATAACAACCCTGTGAGGTGAGTTCAGCTGAAAGAGAGTGTGAATGATTGGCCCAAGGTCACCCAGTTGGCTTTCATAGCTAAGGTAGAACTAGAACTCCCGTTTTCTAGTCTTAACCACTAGACCAAATGAAGGTGGATCAATTTATTCAAACATTTTATCTAGGAGAAAATACCTGAGATACTGTAGAGTTTCCCAGGCCAATATTTACTGATAATAATGACTACAATCTCGTTGGTTCCCTAACATATCTTCTCTCACTGTGGACCAAATGTTTTAAAAAGATCTTCCAAATGTTAAGTTCCAAAACTGTGAATTACTGAACTTTCTTCCAAAATAGTCTCTAAGTGAGAATTCCTATGAACCAAGAAATCCCATTTAAAGCATTGTTATATAAATGAAGATGTGCTTTTACCTGCTACCATAGGTGACTTTCGGTCATCCAGCAGCTGTATGGCTGTACTTGCTGTTACGACATTGCTCTTGTTTGCTTTTTCTAGAAATTGAAAAGGAATGGATATTCAGGTCAAAATTCTTCCTCTGTATAGCAAAAGCCATAGCATTGTCCCTAACAACAGCGTCTGACATGATAAATTAGGGGCACACCGTTTCTTTGAAGTTGGGGCATGCTTTACCATTAATCTGGACACGAGCTTCTAAGACATTTAAGTAAGGCTCACATAGCTGGGGAAATAGACAATTTTTCCCCCGTTTCAAACAACACAACCTGCCAGTGACCTGCAGGTTAGGAATAGGGAGATGCTATATGTATCTTGTATTATGATTGGATACATTAAACTGGATACGTAATACGTGCCTCCCTTTCTTTTCTTTTTTTTAAAATTTTTTATTTTTATTACATAAACAACACATACACACAATAAAAAAACAAAAACAAAAAAGGGAAAAAAAGAACACACACACACACACACACAAAGAGAAAAAACCCATCATCACATACAGCATGTCGTTTGGTTACAGGT